TAATAATTATTAATTATTTTGAATAATTAAATTAAATTAAATTAAAAGATCTCAACAAAATAATAAATTATCAACTCACACCCACGTATATACTACATGAGTACATCTCTAATCATCTATAACTTGTGGGGTTATATAATTTATCAATTTCCAATATAATCTACACGTGTAATAATGTTGCTTTAGAGGATTAATTTTTACTTTGAGTAATGATAGGAGTGATGAAAATTTAAGGTAAAAATTTAAAATTAATAATATAGTAAAAATTAAATTATTAAATGAATTGATATATACAATATTTTGAGTTTAAAAAATAAAAAAATTTATCATTAAATAATATAAAGTCTATATTTTAATATTTTAAATAACATGATTTATATTGCATCATTAATCCTAAGTTTTCGTTATCAAAATTTATCCAATATATCATTATTCTTTTACTTTGTAACGTTGCTTTAGAATTTTTTTTTTTCAGACAAATTTTTTTTAAAAATTAAAGATTAGGAATACAAGGTACTTCGCTTCAAAACAAATACCATGAACTTAGTTTTAGTATAAAAAAAAAAAAAAAAGACATCAAAGCTAGTAAAATAAACCTTTAGATTTCCTTCCCAACGTTACATTTATTTGTAACGTTGCTCTTTCGTCACTGTTGCTCTTAGGGAATTAAAGAAAATTAAAAATAAAATAAAAAAGCCTTCTGAGCCTAAGAATGTAGTGAAAATGGAATCTTTTTGCTCTTAGTTTATTTAACTAAGGCAGGCTCCATTTGGTTTCTTTTTATTAAGCCCAACCTTCGAGCCTATGAATGTACTATTAAATTTAATACGGAATGTCTTAATTTGTTTAATTCTTAAGGCAGGCTTAGGCTACGGAGGTTTTTGGGGGTTGGAAACAGCTGAATTCCTTTATCGTTTTTGCAGGTCAACATGCCATTGGATGGGGTAGCTTCCGCGTGAGGGATGATGCATCATATACGCCAGGCTGATTTGGAGGATTACTTTGCCTGATCCAATTTCAACTTAATTAAGGCCAACTAGTTATTGCGGTCCACCATTATGGAGCTTAAATTATCTTATACATTATTCAATTTAATTGATATTTGTAATTTTTTAAATAATTAATTATAATATTTGAAAATATAAATTTATAAATTTATTTTAATTTATATTAAATGATAAATATTATCAACGATATATTGATTCAAAAAAAAAAATAGTTCAATTTTCTTTTAAATAAAGTCTTGTATTTACGTCTTATAAATAAAAAAATAAATAATTTCACTTGAAGTTAGTTAAATCTAATACAACTTTCAAATATTGAAATGTTAGTATAAAAAAAATAAATAATAAATATTATATATTTTATTTGTTATTAACTATTTTTAATAATTAATCAAATAAAATTAATATTTTTAATAATATTATATTCTCTTTAACAAATTTTAATATTTTACATTCCCATAATCACACGTATATATATTACGTACAGTTGTTATTCAAATGATTTCTTGTTGAGGAAAATATTCAGAAGAAAAAATAATTAATAATTCAATGCATTCCCAACTGCCAAGCCATTAATCATGTTCGCTACGTTATTAATTTATCCAACACGTTCGGAACAGCTGACCGATCCCCGAAATCAAGCATTCATTTCAAAGTCAATATCCATGTCGTTTATTGCGGAGACAAAGCACAAAGAAAGCTACAGACACAACCTATATTCTAGTAATAAATTTATTGATATGAGTATAAAGAAGTGAATTTATTTGCCTCAGTAAAAAAAATAGTTAATTTTTTTATATAATTTTTTATA